CTTGGACCACTTTCTCTTCTCTAATAATATTGCTCTTTTGATTACTCATCTTTAGAATGATGTTTCTGACTTGTTTAAGGGAAATGTCAACCTGTTTTCCTCGATTATTCACTCTATTTGAATGGAAACTTTGAAATTTTTCATTTAACTTTTTTCATTTAACTTTTCATTTACCTTTTTCGTATATATTGATAACTTTTCTTTAACTAATACTTTATTTAAACTAATTTAATAACTTAATCACTTAATTGACTTAATAACTTAATTTTAAGCTCTGTCTAAAGCTGTCTAAAGCTGTCTAAAGCCGTCTAAAGCCGTCTAAAGCTGTCTAAAGCTGTCTAAAGCCATCTAAAGCCGTCTAAAGCGCTGTCTTGTTCTCGGAATTGAAGTTCAAGTTTAATCTAAGCCCAACTCAATCAAAAGCTTGACTTTAAACGGGGGTGGGACAAATGCGACCTTTTTGTTCGCGCACCTGGACATTTGCGCACCTTTTTTTTGCTGGAAAAGGCCTTAGGAAAGGTCGTAGAGCTTCGAAAATATTGCCATATAAGGGAATCGTATGCGCAGATTCCGAATTTCGACAAATCACACCTCGCTAACACGTCAAATTTGGGCTAAAAGGCAAAAACTGCGGAACTTAACGCTTTTTCGAGATTTAACTTCATTTTGATCATTTTACAAGAAAAAAACATCCATAAACAACAGAATAACTGTTGAAATTAAACGGCAAAATTCAAAAAAAGTAAAACTTGATTACAAGGCACTTTTTGAGATGGTTTAATTGGGTATTATAAGCTAAAAGAAAATGATTTGCCAGAATTTTGAAAATCTTTTAAAAACGATCAACTTTGAGACAATTTTAAGCTGCCAGGAGCTTTTTTGGATTCAGGAAAAAGATGGATTTTATCGTTTGATTGGAGGCGATGGTTAATGAGTCAATTTGGTCAAAAAGTCAATTTAAAAACTAAAATGTTCATCAAAGAAGGCTCGAGGCGGGTTCGAACCCTAGAGGCTTGGATTGATAGGCTTGGATTGATAGGCTTGGATTGATAGGCTTGGATTGATAGGCTTGGATTGATAGGCTTGGATTGATAGGCTTGGATTGATAGGCTTGGATTGATAGGCTTGGATTGATAGGCTTGGATTGATAGGCTTGGATTGATAGGCTTGGATTGATAGGCTTGGATTGATAGGCTTGGATTGATAGGCTTGGATTGATAGGCTTGGATTGATAGGCTTGGATTGATAGGCTTGGATTGATAGGCTTGGATTGATAGGCTTGGATTGATAGGCTTGGATTGATAGACAAACTCTCTACCATGACACCATGAAGACATTGAATTCCCAACACAAAAACGCGAGTTTTGTCTGCCCATTCCTTTGCATTCCCATTCGGAACTAAAATGGCTCAAGGCAGGTTCGAACTCTAGAGGCTTGGGTTGATAGACAAACGCTCTGCCAATGCACCATGAAGACACTTAACTCCCAGCACAAAAACACGAGTTTTCTCTGCCCTTTCCTTTGCTTTTTGAGCTATTCTTAGTTGAGAAGAAGCCAGTAATCAGATCAGATTTTACTCTATAACTCGACTCCCAGTAATCAAATCGAATTGAAGTTGATTTTAAAATGATCCTCATTAAATTTGGTTGTAGAAAAGTAGAATTTGTTTTGTACACTTACGTATAAGAACATCGAGAAAATTTGTGTCAAAGTTGAACTACTTACCTGCAAAAGTTGATCAACTTGAACGGTCTATAACTCGAGATATGGAAATTGAATCAACTTGTCATTGCTCTTAAAATGATCCTCATTAAATTTGGTTGTAGAAAAGTAGAATTTGTTTTGCACACTCACGTATAAGAACATCGAGAAAATTTGTGTCAAAGTTGAACTACTTAGTTGATTTTTTGATTGCAAAAGTTGATTTTTTATTTTAAAGAAAACCGCTGAACAGATCGTTTTCAAATTTTACAAAATTATGTAATCAAATGCACTCTATCTTTTTAGCACTAATATATAGCGCTAAAATCGGTTTGTCTTGAAGAAAGTGCGTTGCGGTTGTCCAGTTGTCCAGTGTGCAGGTGTCGACTTTAGCATTGGAGCAGTTTTCGGTGCTCGTCTTTGATAATATTGCGATTTGCTCGATAAAAATAACCCAAGTTCAGTAAGCTTTCAGTTTTGAGTGAACAATATCATTTTTTAATCGATCTATTGACGATCTATCGATTCCAATCGACGATTTTTAATCCTCGGCACATCCCCATTCCTTTCCCAAATCAAATCCAGGCCCGATCTTTTCCCCTTCTCTTCACTCCAATCCTCCAATCCTCCAATCCTCCAATCCGATCCAGGCATTTTGACACCCGTCACACGACATCCATCCCCTTTCACTCAATCTTTTCCCTTTTTATCCTTTTGCCAACTGTATGTGTTCCTATCTTATTTCTCTTCTGTAAACGCTTTCGTCATCCGAAGCTCGAGTGTGGGCTTAGTACTTTCATCGTTATCGTTTTCGATAACATTTAGACAAATCCATTTCAAAAAAAAGTGCTTTCAGGAAATAATCGGATTTTTAAAACCTTTCCCTCTTCTCTCTTCTATTTCTACCGTAATCTTTTCTCTATTTTTATCCAATCTATTCATTTTTTTGTTTCTGATATCACAGCTGTCACAGCAACAATATTTTCCGGCTTTGTTGTGGAATAATACTGGTCAAGCCAGTCAAATTATGGAACGAATGCTTATTGATGAATCAAAAGAAGGCTAACAATCAGTTTGTTGATAAGGCCAAGATCAAGGCCAAGCTCGAGGCCAAGATTAAGACCAAGATCAAGGCCAAGATCAAGGCCAGGCGCGAGGCCAAGATTAAGGCCAAGATCAAAGCCAGTTTGTTGATAAGGCCAAGAGCAAGGCCAAGATTAAGACTAAGATTAAGGCTAAGTTCAAGGCCAAGATTAAGACCAAGGCCAAGGCCAAGATCAAAGCCAGTTTGTTGATAAGGCCAAGAGCAAGGCCAAGATTAAGACTAAGATTAAGGCTAAGTTCAAGGCCAAGATTAAGACCAAGGCCAAGGCCAAGATCAAAGCCAGTTTGTTGATAAGGCCAAGAGCAAGGCCAAGATTAAGACTAAGATTAAGGCTAAGTTCAAGGCCAAGATTAAGACCAAGGCCAAGGCCAAGATCAAAGCCAGTTTGTTGATAAGGCCAAGAGCAAGGCCAAGATTAAGACTAAGATTAAGGCTAAGCTCAAGGCCAAGATCAAGGCTAAGGTCAAGGCCAAGATCAAGACCAAGGTTAAGGCTAAGCTCAAGGCCAAGATCAAGGCTAAGGTCAAGGCCAAGATCAAGACCAAGGTTAAGGCTAAGCTCAAGGCCAAGATCAAGGCTAAGGTCAAATCAAAGCGCGATCAAATCAAAGCCTAAATCAGATCCGGCTCCTAAGTTTGTTTTGGAATAATAAGCCTAAGCCTAAGCCCCATGACCAAGCCAGTGCAGTAAAATTATGGAATGAATGGTTATTGATGAATTAAAAGAAGAAGGCTAACAATCAGTTTGTTACAACAGTCAGTTTGCTGACAAGGCCTTTCATCGTTATCGTAATCGTTTTCGATAACGTTTTCGTTATAAACAAATCCATAAAAAGTGCTTTCAGGAAATAATCGGATTTCTAAAACCTTTCCCTCTTCTCTCTTCTATTTCTACCGTAATCTTTTCTCTATTTTTATCCAATCTATTCATTTTTTTGTTTCTCATATCCCAAAAACAATAAAATATTTTATTTATTAACAAAACAATAAAAGATTTCATTTTTTCCAGTCGACAATCGACGACAATTTCATTTTTATTTTTTCAAACAGATTTTCCCGCAAATCTTTTCATTTCTTTTTATATTTTTGTTTAAAAATAACAAATTTATCAATTAATCTATGCTTTTTAAGTGTTCAATTACTCAATTTTCATCTTTTTAAACCAATTTTGGTTCACTTTCAGCAAATTTTGCGCAAAAAAAATCGATAAAAACTTTAAGCTATAAATTAGTTTCTTCTTCTAATGAATTTCTCTGAAAATTTGCCTTAATACTAAACTTTTTATGCTCTATCTATTGAAAAGAAGATACCGTAAATAATGTAATAGTACCCCACCGCCCTCGTACAGTCGCGTAGTCGCAAAAGTTTTTTGGTATTTTTGGTATTTTTGGTATTTCATTTTTTTCAAAGCGCCCGTACTTTCAAAAAATGCGTCTTTGGTATCAAAAAATAGCCCTGAATTTCAGCTATTTTTTAATATCTAAACGAGCATTGTAGCATAAACCAGTGTCGAGAAAAACGCGTTTTTTCGGGATGGTTGCGTAGTCTAACTTTGAACATCCCGTTCTCTGCGCTACTTTATGCTACAATGTGCACTTTGGTATCAAAAAATAGCTGAAATTCAGGGCTATTTTTTGATACCTAAACGAGCATTGTAGCATAAACCAGTGTCGAGAAAAACTCGTTCAAAGCTAGACTACGCGATGCTCCGGCCGTCATTATAAACTGATAACGAGAAAAATGCGTTTAAAGTTAGGCTACGTGATGCTCCGTCTTTTGATATCGAAAAATAGCCCTGAATTTCAGCTATTTTTTGATACCTAAACGAGCATTGTAGCATAAACCAGTGTCGAGAAAAACTCGTCCAAAGTTAGACTACGCGATGCTCCGGCCGTCATTATGGGGGTGGGGACTATTACAGTATTTACGGTAGGTTTCTTTAACGCAAAAATGGTTAAACTTGGCTCAAAATGGTTCAAGTTTAACTTTTTAACTTTATGACTATCCAACTTCATTCTCTCAACAAATAATCCAGAAATAAATCATTTTACAAAAAAAATTAATTGACATTTCTAATGAAAGAAAGAATTTTTTTTATATTTTAGTTTTTTCTACTTCTCGATTTACAAAGCTTATTGAAAGCTTACAAAGCTTTTTATTCTTTCTTTCCCGATTTTCAATCTCCGATCGGACAAATGCGGGACGTCCTGGCTGCGGCTTTGCTCGTGCCAACGCTTGTCACCGGTGAGTGAAAAGATATCATTTTTATACTGTTCATAGCAATTTCATAGCAATTTCAGTAATAATATAGATTAGAGAAGCCGAAAAACAGCAGAAAGCATCGAGTCTTCTGGCTAGACGCTTTCTGGTACATGGTAAAGTCGAGAGCGCGCTTGTCTACGGCCCGTAGACAAGAGCGCGCTTGTCTACAGCCCACATGATTCGGGTTCGACTCCTGGCTGTCTTCTTTTGCTTTTTAAAACAAACTATATAGAATTCTAAGCCTAATAAACTAAAAATCATATAAATCGGTCAACGGAGAGCCGAGAAATAGCGAGCACGCGAGCACAGTTGGACGGATGGACAGACGGACAGACGCTTCTTTTATATAGTAGAGATTCAGTTAACAAGGGTTTTTCAATGATGAGATGTCGCAACCAGTGAAAATCGTCTCTAGTTTACACTTGCCTTTAAATATGTTACGTTCGATCTAGATTGATTCTATCAGGTTGGCAACTAAATAATGGCCCTTTTCAGTAAAAACAAAAAATTTATTAACAAGATGAACAAACATCAACATCAATCCAAAAGGTATTCTCCGTCATTCTTTATTACTTCTTACCAGTTTTGACGGAGCAACTGGATTCCTCTTTTGAAAAATTCTTCTGGTTGATCGTCAAAGAACTTCTGCACTGAAATTCGGACTTCGTCAAGGTCCATGAACTTTTTCTCGGCTAGAAAGTGTTGCATCGATCGAAAAAGATGGTAATCACTAGGCCCCATATCCGGGCTGTATGGCGCATGAGGAAGAACATTCCAGCCCAACTCCTCGATTTTCTCCATTGTAAGTTTTGCAGTGTGTGGTTTTGCGTTATCATGGAGAAAATGAATTGAAGAGGGTTCGAGTCCTTGAGAGCGAATTGCTTGATCTCCACAATGTAGTTGAGACGAATAGAGTTCTGAATTAACCGTTTGCCGGCTTTTGAGAACCTCGAAATGCACCAACCCACGAGAACTCCACCACACACAGAGGAGAGTTTTCTTTGAGTGAATATCCGGCTTCGGAGTTGGTTTTGGGTCTTCGTTTGTGCTAAGCCACTGTCGTTTTCGCGTTCGATTATCATAAAAGATCCATTTTTCATCAGAAGTGACAATGGAATTCAAGAAGCTTCTCTTTTTCGCAAGTTTTAGTAGTATTCCAGCTGTGATAACACGAGTTGCCTTATTTTCTTCGCTCAATTCATGCGGAATCCACTTTCCACTGCGGTTACTTTTCCCCAATGCATGAAGTCACTTTTCGATTGCAGTATGCGAAAATCCCAATCGATCCCCTAGCTCGCGTGATGTTTGACTTGGATCCTCCTTTAAAGCTGCTTCCAAAATATCGTTCTGCAGAAGTTCGGGTCGTCCTTGGCGAGGCTCATCTTCAAGACTTTCATCCCCTTCCTTGAACCGTCGATACCATCTCTTACATTGTGTTTCGGAAAGAGCTTGATCACCAAAAACTCGCAATAAATCTCTGTGGGATTCGGCAGCTGTTTTGCCTTGTTTGTAGTCGTACCAGAGACAGACACGCATTCGATATTTGAGATCTTCCATTTCTAAACAAAATTATTTGAAAAGTATCAAATCAAGGAAAGTAAAAAACGTATAATAATGCACCAGAAATTCAGTAATATTCAATTAACAACAAGCGAGGGTAGATTAAACGCAAAGATTAAAAGATTTTATCAAAAGAGGGCGAGGGCCATTATTTAGTTGCCAACCTAATAGATAAATCCGATCTAGATTGATTCTAGATCGTCCTATCTAGAATCTAGAATTCTAGAGTCCGATCTAGAGTCAAGTTAGGTCAAACGTCCGATCTAGAATCTAGATCTAGATCTAGATCTAGAGCACTCTAAATCTAGATCTAGATCACTCTAAATCTAGATCTAGATCACTCTAAATCTAAAGTTGGATGTCGGACGATTGATTTAGAGTGATCGGCTTGATTCTAGATCGAATTTACAAAAAAATTTACATTCAATTAGACAAGATGAGTATCTTTTCAGTCCTAATAGGGTTTAATCAATCAAAAAACCAATTAGAAAAGTTTGATAGCGAACTGTGAGCTAAAGGCTTAATCAAAAATCAAAATCTGACTCTAAATCGTTTGAATCCATTCTAGAGTCCATTCTAAAATCTGTAAACTCATTCGAGAACCTCTTAAACTTCTCGGTTCTATCTAGAATCAGTCTAGAATCTAGAATCTAGATCAGACGGATTTCTAGATCAGCTGGATGTCTAGATCAGACGGATTTCTAGATCAGACGGATTTCTAGATCAGCCGGATTTCTAGATTAGCTGGATTTCTAGATCAGCTGGATGTCTAGATCAGCCGGATTTCTAGATCAGCTGGATTTCTAGATCAGACGGATTTCTAGATCAGACGGATTTCTAGATCAGCTGGATGTCTAGATCAGACGGATTTCTAGATCAGACGGATTTCTAGATCAGCTGGATGTCTAGATCAGCTGAATTTCTAGCTCGAACGTAACATTTATAGTAATATGCTGAAGTTTTAATCTAAAACAAAGTAGGCTTAAGCTTAAGCATGAAATAAGCATAAGCTTAAGGTGGTTAAAGCGCTTACTCAAGCAATTCACCATGAGATTTGTTTGGCTTTTGATTGCTTTTGACTTTTGACAGCATCCATATACCTGTATATGGATGCTGTAAAATATTGTAAATGAATAATCAGTTGGGGAATTAGCCGTACTATGTGTATTGTCTTATGAAACTGACTAGAAAGATTCAATTTTCAGCCAATCTCTTCGGCTTCTCGTCACCAGCCGGTCAAACTGCGCAATGTGAGTCCATTTGTTTCAAAAAAAAACTTCAATCATGTAAGTCATCACTTTTCTTAATTGGTTTTGATGTTTTATTTGCTTCAATAGCAGAATAATCATTTCTAAGTACTGTAATAGCATTTCTAGTACTGTAAAAGCATTTCTAGTACTGTAAAAGCATTTCTAAGTACTGTAAAAGCATTTCTAAGTACTGTAAAAGCATTTCTAGTACTGTAATAGCATTTCTAAGTATTGTAAAAGCGTTTCTAGTACTGTAAAACCGTTTCTAGTACTGTAAAAGCGTTTCTAAGTACTGTAAAAGCATTTCTAGTACTGTAAAAGCGTTTCTAAGTACTGTAAAAGCATTTCTAGTACTGTAAAAGTGTTTCTAATACTGTAATAGCATTTCTAGTACTGTAAAAGCGTTTCTAAGTACTGTAAAAGCATTTCTAGTACTGTAATAGCCTTTCTAGTACTGTAATAGCATTTCTAAGTATTGTAAAAGCGTTTCTAGTACTGTAAAAGCCTTTCTAGTACTGTAATAGCATTTCCGACCACTGTAATACCATTTCTAACTACTGTAAAAGCATTTCTAGTACTGTAAAAGCGTTTCTAGTACTGTAAAAGCCTTTCTAGTACTGTAATAGCATTTCCGACCACTGTAATACCATTTCTAACTACTGTAATACCCATTTCTTCTCTTCTTCATTAAACCCTTGTATTCTGTCGCTAAACTAACGCTTTCCCCATGTAAGCCTAAAGTTTCAAAGTGATTTGTGGGCTTTGTTCGCAGGCGTCGTGATCCTTTTCAACCACTACGTAAGAAGATTCCCTCGCGCGTTTTCAAACGATCCGTAAACTGTGTGAATGGGCGAAAAGAACCCATTTCAGTTCACGAGGCTCTCGGCTCTCACTTTTCGTCTCTTCCCAGCATCTCTTAGATCAAATTTAGATCCTCAGCCTCTCTCCAGGCTTTTGCAGGGTCTCTTTTTACTCCAGACTCTCCAGCGTCACCCACAGACTCTCTTTTCACCTTCAGAGTGCTGAACACCTGGGCTTTCTGGCTCTTAGACTTTCTCCAGTCTTAGATCTCTAGGTTCTCTCAATATCTTGTTTCTCAAGGTCTCTGAGCCACCCAGAACCTCTCTAAGGCCTTTCTTCTCTTTCTAGAACTATTCTCTCTTTGTCTGTGTGCAAATAGGCCAACACATTTCTCCACTCATAGTCGTCTTTATGTTTTGATTGAGGGGAAAGTTCGAGATGATTGGGTACGGATGAAAGTTGATTGACAAAGTGTTAACAAAGTGTTAACAAAGTGATTAAAAGGCTAATAATAAGTTTGTTGACAAGGCCAAGATCAAGGCCAAGATCAGGCCAAGATCAAGGCTAAGATCAAGGCTAAGGTCAAGGCCAAGATTCAGGCTAAGGTCAAGGCCAAGATTCAGGCCAAGATCAAGGCTAAGGTCAAGGCTAAGGTCAAGGCCAAGATCAGGCCAAGCTCAAGGCCAAGCTCAAGGCCAAGATCAAGGCCAAGATCAAGGCCAAGATCAAAGCAAAAACAGGTTCTTTTCTTGTATTTAAGGCAGATATAAGCATAATAACTGATCTAGTTGACGTTTAAAACGTTTAAAGATGATCTTCTTCTGTTTAAAGATGATCTTCTGATCATCTTTTTCAAAAGTGTCACGATTAAGTCCCTAGATTTTTCCAAGATTTGCACAAATTCTTGATTTCTCTATTCTATTTTGTAGTGTACAATAAGATCTTTAAAATAATATAAAACGTAGAGTATTCTTTTGATTTTCTTCTTTTAATTCTTCTTTTAATTCTTCTTTTAATTCTTCTTTCATTCTTCTTTTACATTCTTCTTTCATTCTTCTTTCATTCTTCTTTCTTTCTTCTCTTCAATAAGCATTCTTTTCATAATTTTGTTTTGTAGAATCATGACCGAGTCATTCAGAGTATTGAAAAAGGGCTTTTTGTTTATTTACCTAATCCAACTTGTTTCTTTACCACTTCTTCCTTTCTTTGCATTCATTCTCTTTCTTAATTCTTTCCATTTCTGACTCATCTCCTCTTCTTCGATCCATCATTTCTCTCCTCGCTTTTGACGTCGACTAGATTAGGTCTTTTGAATGTTTTTTTTGAGTCTAAAATCTAGTTTCCTTTCTTCTGATTTACGTGATTCACTGCAATTCTGCTACAAGAAGGCAGAAAATTAGAATTTAAAAATTAGAATGGAAGAAATAAGATACAAAGCTTTTAGCAAGTCGGTCAAATGTCGGCTAAATGATTTGGAGACTTTTTTTGACTCAAATCTTTTTCTAATTCTCTAAAATGATCAAAAATCAAACGAAATGTGATGAACTTAGTTTTGGAATTGAATTTGTTAAGGGTAGAAAGTTTGGCAAGTTTGAGAAGACGGCGTCAGCGTCAAAAACGGCGGATCGACTCATTCAAGGACTTATTAAACGAGTTGCATAAATCCGATTGACAAGTTTTTGTAGGAAAATGTAGCCAAGATTAAAGGCTACAATTCTCTACCTAACACTTGATACTTTGAAATAAATTAAGCGTGCGAAAAGTACTTTTCCGAAAAGTTGTCCGAGTAATTTTGCCCAACGTCAGATTTGACCTTCAAAGTCAGTGAAACTTTCTAGGCTTATCAAATCCAATTCCAAACCCAAATTCTTATCAGATCTAGGTTTATTTTTGTTCCTTTTCGAGATTTAGAGAAAGGTTAGAGTCAAAAAAAGTCTCCAAGCCGACTGGCTAAATCGGTAGGTCAATGGTTGAATCTCGCTGGCTAGATTATTGGTTCTTTTTTCCCGGTTTCTCTACATTTACGTTTTCTTCTCTACATTTAGGACTTAGGATTTTAAAAAAATACCGACTGGGGCTACCAGTGGTGAATTTATCGCATACACGAAATATATCAATCACAATACAACGACACACACAATACTAGGCTATATCTTAACTTAACCCACGTCATGACAGACGGCTCCCTAACCCTAAGCTCAATGGGGAACTAAATAGCTTTTTTTGGTGGTGAAGGGAAGATGACGATGAAGGAGTGGCTTGTCACTTTAAAGAACTGGGGCCACAACCACCAGACTGCCCTCCAGAAAACCTCTCAACCCGAAGAGAAAGGAAATCCGAAGGGGGTGACCATGTCGCATGTGGGGTTCGAACCCTCGACCTTCCGATTAAGATAAAAGACACTTAACCAGTCAGCCACACGTGCTTGTATTTGCTTGTATCACATTATTCTTGTGACTAAATGTCAATTTTTAAAAACCCTTACTTCCAATAAACGTTCCACAAATGAAAAGATAGGGTAGTCCCTTGTGGGCGGTGAGTTGCGAGAGATGCCTTTGCACGGTGGCCGGTCGATCGATCTGGAAAACGAGATTGTTTTTGAAATCTTAGTGATTGCCGTCTTTACAGTAGAGTAAAGTATTCGGCTAAAGATTCCATTTACCTTATCCACATAAAAAGAGACGAGCGGCAGTCCGTATGTATCCCTCAATAAATTCTCCAATCGAGACCAGCTCTCCTTTCGAGAGTTCACATACATCTCCACATCATCCCCACCTAATATAACGAGATAATAATTCACACTTTTCCAACAAATAACACTAAGAATAAGTCAAAAATTTACATTTAAACATTGCCTAAAGTTGCCTAAAATGCATAAAGTTTATGATAAACAAAGAAAAACAAAGCTAAGACAAAGATTTAGATGAAACATCGCAGTACAACTCGTACTCACCGCAACTTTCCTACAATCCATCGCAATTTCAGTCACAGGTTTGTTGCTAGAGAAAAGGAAAACTTTTACATTTGAATGTTTGCATTGTTTGCATGAGGTTTTTGGAGATTTAAAGTTTAAGAACAGATGGGATTAATCTTTTAAAACTTCGCTACAGTATTATAGCGTACTTTAGGCTTACAAAATCGTCGCTTTGGAGCTTTGGCATAAAGCTTTTACTGTCTGACTCTGAATTTGCCAAATCATTTAAACGATCTAGCTTTAGAGCTTTAGATGAATGGCTTAGCAAAGCTCAACCAGTACGCCAAAGGTGTGCGATTGTAAGCACAAAGTACGCGCTATACGGCATCTCATTCAAATTCGAAATTTAGATTTTATTGAAAAGTTGAATTTGATAGACTGAGTACTATTAATCTGTTTTTTTTAAAATGTACAATTTTCTGTTAAACTACCGTAATCTTATCTCTATTTCTATCCAATTAATTCACTTTTTTCTCATTTTTTTCACAAAGAATATCGAAAGATTGATTTCAATTGATGTTTTAAAGAAAATCGATAAACGAATCGTTGGGAGTGGGACAAATGCGACCTTTTTTTTGCGCACCCGGACATTTGCGCACCTTTTTTCCCGCACCTTTCGCACATTAGCGCACCTTTAGCGCCCATTAGAGCACCATTCGCGTTTTAAAAAACCTCTAAAAAGTTAATATTAACCAATTTCTATTCCAAATGTTATTTTTCTAGGTAATTTTAGGGCGTAGAATCGAAATTTTGGCATTTCAGAGCGTGTGGAACCAATTTGAAAGACAAAAGCGGCTAGATCAAATTACAGAAAATTGTACAGAAAGAAAATTGTGTTTTCTCTTTGTATAACTCCGCCCGTTTGTTTCCACAAGCTCTGATATGTCAAAATTTCGATTCTACGCCCTAAAATTACCTAGAAAAACAACATTTGGAATAGAAATTGGTTAATATTAGCTTTTTAGGGGTTTTTTTAAAACGCGAATGGTGCGCTAATGGGCAAGGTGCGCAAAAAAAGGTGCGCAAATGTCCGGGTGCGCAAAAAAAAAAGGTCGCATTTGTCCCACGTTTTCTAATTTTACAGAATTATTGGGTTGGTGAATTGAAAACTTCGGGACTTTGAACTAAAATTTATTGAACATAAAACCATCAATTCATTCGAAATAATGAATTATTATTATCCATTATTATTGACGACTTCTGCCCATTTTACAGGCAATTTTCGGATTCCTCTTTCGTAGTAGGGTTTTGGTTTTGAATCGAAAAACTTTCAAAGCCAATTTTTGACTGCTTCTTCCGAATCGAAGTGTTCTCCCGCTCATGATCCGGATTACTCGTGATCCGGGCTAGGATGCACAGGATGGGGTAGAGGCTGAGTAGGGGCTGAGTAGGGCTGGGGCTAGGACCCATATGGTCGGGTCCTAGGCTGGGTAGGGCTGGGTAGGGCTGGGTAGGGCTGGGTAGGGCTGGGGCTAGGACGCACAGGATGGGGTAGAGGCTGGGTAGGGGCTGAGTAGGGGCTGAGTAGGGCTGGGGCTAGGACCCATATGGTCGGGTCCTAGGCTGGGTAGGGCTGGGTAGGGCTGGATAGGGCTGGGGCTAGGACCCATATGGTCGGGTCCTAGGCTGGGAGGTAGGGCTGGATAGGGCTGGGGCTAGGACGCACAGGATGGGGTAGAGGCTGGGTAGGGGCTGAGTAGGGGCTGAGTAGGGCTGGGGCTAGGACCCACATGGTCGGGTCCTAGGCTGGGTAGGGCTGGGTAGGGCTGGGTAGAGGCTGGGTAGGGCTGAGCCAGAGTCCTAGTCATAGGAGCAAGGCTAGGATCCTTTGGAAAAAACATTTTGAAAAAGAATTTTAAAGACATGCAACAATCTAATATAAAAAGTGACTAGATTGAAAAATAGAGACAAGATTACGGTAGTTTAAAGCACGGCTTAGGAAACGGATCCTTTGGAATGCCTTTTTCTATCTCTTTATCTATCCGCTTTTTTTCTCGTTTCAGCGCCCATCAGCAGCCGGCGAACAGCCCGCTTTCGTGACCGAGCACTCGTATTCGACGGAAGCGAGTTACCAGACGAACCCATTCCTGCAATATCTTCAACAACAACAACAACGACAACAAATCCAATCTTCATCCCCTTCATCATTCTCGAGTTATCCCGATCAGTCAGCGATTGAGCGATACGCCCAAGCCACTCAAATGGCTACACAGCAAATCGCGCAAGCACAAGCCCAAGCAGCCGCTCAAATGCAAGCACAACAAGTACGGTGCATGATCTGAAAACTTTTAGCTTTTCTTTTTATCTTCCTTTCATTCCTGGTTAAATGGTTTTTTAAAAGATGAGCTTTGAGAAAGTTATTGTAGCCAGTTGGCTATGGTAGCTTTCTTTCTAGGCTTTGAGAAAGCTGGCGTAACCAGTTGGCTACAGTGACTTTCTTTCTACGCTTTGAGAAAGCTATTGTAGCCAGTTGGCTACAGTGGCTCTCTTTCTGTGCTTTGAGAAAGCTACTGTAGCTCAAATTACATTAGCTTTTCCTATTTTTAAAAATAAGAAACGATGTTCTCTTGGTTCAAATGTTTTTTAAAAGATAGAAGCTACATTATTTTGGTTGGTTTTATGAATTTCATTTCTTTATCAATCCTTTTGAAAGAGATTCTCTAGGCGCAAGCAGCTCAAGCTCAAGCTCAAGCCCAGGCTCAAGCTCAGGCTCAGGCTCAAGCCCAAGCTCAGGCTCAGGCTCAAGCTCAAGCCCAGGCTCAGGCTCAAGCCCAAGCTCAGGCTCAGGCTCAGGCTCAAGCCCAGGCTCAAGCTCAAGCTCAAGCTCAAGCTCAACAGCAGGCTCAGCAAGCTCAACAAGCTCAACAGATGCACTCGTACGCGAATTATCTTCCATCATCTCAACAACAACAACAGCCAAATATCTACCCACCTGCCCCTCAACAATCACATCAACAACAGGCAAGCATGAGAACTTTTGGGAGTCAGGCTTAGCACGTATTGATCAAGATCAAGGCATGGGGGAAGGTTTGCATGAAGCTTCGTCTATTGGATAAAGCTGTTGATTTGAATTAGATCTAGGATCTGAGATTGAGTCTTAGATTTAGTAGAAACACACCGTTTCTGGTGCACTGAGTTTCTCAAAAGCATTCTCGTAGCATTGCAGTAAGGCTCGACGGATTAGATACTGTACAAGTATGAAAGTACCCTCGAGTAAGCGAGTGGGTACTGTACTGGAGTCTACTGAGTACTAGATTACTGTATTGATAGTAAGGTAGTAACCAGTGAAGATCTTAGTGAACCCTGGTGAACTAGTGAAGATCTTAGTGAACTCTGGTGAACCAGTGAAGATCTTAGTGAGCTCTGGTGAACCAGTGAAGGTCTTAGTGAACTCTTAGTCAACTCTTAGTGAACTCTATTCAAAAACTCACAAAATTTCTTTTAGGTAGCTGCAGCCTCGGCAGCCGCATCAGCTTTCGTGAACTCGGCAAGCCAATACGCTTCTCAATATGCTCAACAATTCGCTCAAAGTACCCAGGTTTGAAATTTCTGAACTCGCTTTTTTTCCTTTCCATACAAGCTTTCTAACAAATGTGTTGCTTTTCCACTTTAAAACCAGGCATTCATTTCCTTTGATCTCTTGATGTCTGCAGTGTTCTTGAGGTTCGACTTGGCTCATTGCCTAAGACTAAAATGACTGAAGACTAGACTGAAATGTCAATCAAATAAGTGCAATTGAGTTCTGATGCTAGTCTGGCTGGATAGCTTGGCTAGCTAGATGAGCTTGGCTAGCTAGATGAGCTTGGCTAGCTAGATGAGCTTGGCTAGCTAGATGAGCTTGGCTAGCTAGATGAGCTTGGCTAGCTAGATGAGCTTGGCTAGCTAGATCAGCTTGGCTAGCTAGATCAGCTTGGCTAGCTAGATGAGCTTGGCTAGCTAGATCAGCTTGGCTAGCTAGATCAGCTTGGCTAGCTAGATCAGCTTGGCTAGCTAGATCAGCTTGGCTAGCTAGATCAGCTTGGCTAGCTAGATCAGCTTGGCTAGCTAGATGAGCTTGGCTAGCTAGATGAGCTTGGCTAGCTAGATCAGCTTGGCTAGCTAGATCAGCTTGGCTAGCTAGATCATCTTGGCTAGCTAGATCATCTTGGCTAGCTAGATCATCTTGGCTAGCTAGATCATCTTGGCTAGCTAGATGAGCTTGGCTAGCTAGATCAGCTAAGCATCCAAGTCAAGCGTAATCTAAGCCCACACAAATATACAAGATTTGACCTGAACCTAGGCTAGAACCAGTATAGAAAGCTGGGCAAGGTTAGACCACGATAGATCCGCATCCGCATTCGAAAAATTCGCATTTAAAACATTTCTATACGGCTTAAAGTACACTCATTACTAGAGGCAAACGTCGTGAATGCGTGAAAACGAAAAAAAGTCTATAAAATAAAATGTTGACAAAGGATTTCACTTTCGAAGAACTGCAATCACTTTCCCGTTTCCCCTTTCACCCATTTCACCTTTCCTTTTCTCATTTCAGGCTCCACCCGTTCAAATCGATCACACAAATCTTCAAAAGTATTCGCAATATTTGGAGATTCTCCAGAAACATTACGGGATTCAATTGCCCGGAGCGCTTTCTACACACGTGTGTTTTATCGTTTTCGTTTACTATTCCCTGCTATACAGATTATACTGCTATACAGATTACTTTTAAAAGATGCCTTTACTTTTCAGTTTGACTTTCAGTTTGACTTTCAGTTTGACTTTCAATTTGACTTTCAGTTTGACTTTTCTTTTTTCATTTTTTGACTTTCACCGATCACTTTTTGTTGGGTTAAGGAGAATGAAATGGCACTGAAAATCAAAGAAAATTCAAATAAAAGAGAATTCTAGAAGCTAGAAATTCTAGAAGTTAAATAATAGTCGTTAAATGCTTTTAATATCATTAAAAAGGTTAACGATTTCTTTACAAAATTAGATTTAAAAAAAGAAATCAAACAACGCCAAAGCTTAGGCTTTTTTTCCATTTAGAACCTATAAATTGTCATTAAGAGCCCTCTGCTAACGCAGCTGAAAACAGCTAGCAAATGGGGGACGGAAACAATTTTAAATGAAGAGTACCACGAATATTCTTCAAAGCAATATCAAAGCAATACCGGAAACATACCCTGAATACCCTTCGCAATGCCCGTAAAGATTCAATATTGCACCAAGTGAGCCAAAATTTAGCGGAAAGCGCTCAACATATATAATAAACGTAAGAACGTGGTGTGCTGCATGCACAACCTTATGAATGCCCGTAAATTTTTCAATTCAGCATCATGTTCGGAACTAGGCACTTGTTCCGTTTCGGACGTAACATACAGAGTGTTCAGAAAAAAAAGTGGTCATCGGTTTGATCATTAAATATCATTGAAAAAGGTTAACGAATTCTTTACAAAATTCGATTTAAAAAAGAAATCAAACAGCGCCAAAGCTTAGGCTTTTTTCCATTTAGAACCTATAAATTGTCATTAAAAGAAAACGGTTGAAGGGATTTTGTTCAAAATTTCGCAACTTATACAATTTTTTGTGCTCTATCTTTTTTCTATAGATACTAAAGGAGGTTTATTTGAAAGAAAAGGTTCAACTCGTCGTCACCATTTCGACGAGCTTTGCTAAAAAGAGTTTGATAAACTGGACAAAAAAAAAGCTTTATGGAAACGCTTAAAAGTGATTTTTTTTAGAGAAATAGTAAAGCCTTTTGATGAAATAAAATGTGGATTTAAAAAAGGCTACAAAAATGCTTTAAACTTTATGCTGCTTTATTCTTTAAAATTCGGCGCCATTTCATTCTCTCTAACTCAATATTTTTTAAAGTTTGAAGTGACTTTTAGTGGAAAAACTTTAAAAAATTTGCATATAAAGCTTTGACTCTATAAAACTAGTCAGGATTACTGTAATTGAAAGGTAAAAAGTGGCCTAGTTACCGTAATTCAAAAATGGATAGGCTAAAATACTTCAGCGTACTGTAGCTGGACTCGAAAGTTGCCCAGTTACCGCAATTCGAAAATGGATAGGCTAAGATACTGACTGGAGATTAAACTTACTGGAGATTAGGTTACGGTAGCGTAGTTTAGAGTTGGCTACCGTGATAGCTTTTCCTAAGTACTGTAGCTATTCCTAAGTACTGTAGCTATTCCCAAGTGCCGTAATATTCATTCCTAAGTGCTGTAACCATTCCTAAGTGCTATAATAGTCATTTCTAAGTATTGTAGCCATTCCTAAGTACTGTGATAGCCATTCCTAAGTGCTGTAACCATTCCTACGTACTGTAGCCATTCCTAAGCACTGTAATAGCCATTCCTAAATGCTGTAACTATTCCTAAGTACTGTAGCTATTCCTAAGTGCTGTAATGGTCATTCCTAAGTATCGTAGCCATTTCTGAGTACTGTAGCTATTCCTAAGTACTGTAATAGCCATTCCTAAGTGCTGTAACCATTCCTAAGTCCTGTAGCTATTCCTAAGTACTGTAATAGCCATCCCCAAGTACTGTAGCCATTTCTAAGCTCAAACCGATCCCCCTCCCCATTGCAGCCCCGTCCCGTGACCGCCTCTCCATTGGCGATCGAGTTCGGCTCTCCGCAATCTCCAACTTCTGAATCTCAATCACAATCCCCATCTGCAATCCCACAAACACAACCACAATCACCGCAAAATCCCCAGACACAGGTTTTGTTTCTTGTTTTGTTTTTTTTTCAGTTTCAATGACAATTTCATATTTTTGCATGGACGATAAAAACTAACTTTTTTTGAAAACTGCATGAGCACTCAAGGGTTTAAAAGTACTGCTCAGTAGTACTAGAGAATACTTTCAGATTACTTTCAATACGATTAGTAGCTACGGTACAGTACGTACTAACGTTTTAGCACGCTGCTTATGGTCAATACTTAGTAAAGCTCAGTAAAGTTGATATGGTTTTTAGTAAAGGTCATACAGCTAAAAACAGTTTAAGAAGATTAGTATTTTAGTGAGATTACTTTAATAAGATTAGAGCTGCGGTTATGACATTGGACAATAAAATTGTAACAAAAACTATCTGTCGATCCTTTTTGCCGCTGGCAATTTAAAGTTTTGTCGTTTTTTTCTCAGTAAGAACCCTTCAATTTTGACTATTTTGATTATCATTGGATACAGAATGAAATTACGAGTCGAATGATACCAAAATCAACTTAAAATCTAATATCAAAGCAAAGTTATGAGGCAAAAGATTAAGTCTCGCCCATAATGGCGTTTTTAGTCAACAACTTTGGCTGGATATTAGATTTTAAGTTGATTTTGGTGTCACTCGACTCGCAATTTCATTCTGTATCCAATGATAGTCAAAATCAACTCAAAATCTAATATCGATACAAAGTTGTTGGCTAAAAACCTAAACCCCACCCCTTATGGGCGAGACTTAGTCTTTTGCCTCATAACTTTGCCATGATATTAGATTTTGAGTTGATTTTGACTATCATTGGATACAGAATGAAATTGCGAGTCGAGTGACACCAAAATCAACTTAAAATCTAATATCCAGCCAAAGTTGTTGACTAAAAACGCCATTATGGGCGAGACTTAATCTTTTGCCTCATAACTTTGCTTTGATATTAGATTTTAAGTTGATTTTGGTATCATTCGACTCGCAATTTCATTCTGTATCCAATGATACTCAAAATAGTCAAAATTGAAGGGTTTTTACTGAGAAAAAACGAAAAACTTTAAATTGCCAGCGGCAAAAAAGGATCGATAGTTTTCGTTCCAAATTTACTAGACAGTACGGTTTAGTACTCAAAAAACAAATACTAAGCGAAGTTATGAGCCATTCCTATCACTAGAACAGATTCGGAATGTTGCGCATGTTAACAAGCATTTGAAAACATTTCAGATCCCTGGATACTTGCCTCCACAACAGCCACCACTTTCCTCATATCCGAGCTATCAATCACAAACGGGACAACCCGTGAACCCAACATATTCACAGCTTCAACCACAACAATTGCAACAGCAGCAGCTGCAACAACAACAATTGCAACAACAACAATTGCAACAACAGCTACAAGCAGCGCAGGCTCAAGCTCAGGTTCAACCCCAGCCTCAACCTCAATCCCAACCCCAACCCCAACCCTCAACCTATCCGAATGCTGCAACAATGGCTGTGGCTCAACAAGTCGCTCAACAGGTTGCATGAATTGAAAAAAGAAAACCCAATTTTCCAAAGAGTAATAGCAATTTGCTAACCAGCAATTGCTAACCAGCAATTGCTAAAAGCAGCAATTTTTCTTTTCAAACTGGCACAATTTTTTGAAACTAGTAGTGCAGTGGCACTAGTAGCACTCTGTGCTAGCAAAACTAGCAACGCACCCTTTCTGGCGCACTTGACTCCTTAGTTTTCTCACAAAAACAGTTTAGAAACAAATTCAGTGCACTGGAAAGAGTGCTTTTATCGATTCAAGCACAAAAGAAAGCGATTTTTGAATGAAAACTCGCAAAAGCATGTACGCATGGGAGATAAAACTCATCGAATTTGTTCTAATAATATTGTAAATCAAATAATATTCGAAATCTTGTGATAAAGATATGTTTAGGGGACGTCAAATACCTATTCGAGCAACACTTATCCACAGAATCAACAGGTGAGATTGAAAAAGAATGAACCTGAAAACTGACCCAATGAGTCACGTAAACAGGGAAATTCTTTAACCTTTTGTTTTGCGTTTTTTGGTTGAGCTGAATTGGAGAACTAGATTTTGAGGTTTTTACTGACAAAAGCAGACAAATTTGGGAACCATTCGATCAGAATTTTATACTGATTCCGTTGTTTTGTTTTGTTAAATGACTTCCTGAAAAAAGCAAAAGAAAAATCCAAAGCCGGGCTCGAACTCGCGAGGTCTCGATCTGGAAACAAAGGCCTTACCAATCGGCCATGGCTGTAGGGAAAGAGGTCTGCAAGAAGGTCGCTAAGATTCAAATGTCCATGTTTTCAGAGTCTTTCAGAAATCAAATAACCATATTTTTACCAACTTTAGACCCAACTTTAGACCCAACTTTAGACCCAACTTTAGGCCCAACTTTAGGCCCAACTTTAGACCCAACTTTAGACCCAAAGACCCAACTTTAAACCCAACTTTAAACCCAACTTTAGACCCAACTTTAGACGCTTATAACTCTTGACAGATTGTCATTTAGCAAAAACGGAATATCTATTCGGAATCAGCATCAAATTCTGCGAATGGTTTAGATCGCATTCGTCTGGCTTAACCTCCTTTTGTTAAGATTACTGCAACTAGAGCTAAAAAAATGATACAGATCCGATTTTGAGGTTGCTGTATTAGCTGAAAATGATCCTGTTACCGTAATTCGGCAATAAAACAGACTAAAATACTTAGCATACTGTAACTGGGCTCAAAAGTAGCCCATTTACCGTCCCTGTCATCCTTTAAAGTGTAAACTAAGACTTTTCAGTCTTCCTATCCGCAAGCCCAATCCGCCTCGCCGTACTCGTCGTACGCCTCGCAAATGGCCGCACAACAGCAACAGTTGCAGGTAGAAACTTTCAACTTTCATTGGATGAAGAATTGGATGAAGTTGGATGAAGAATTCAAGCTATACCTGAAAAGGGTAGTCATAAAAGAAAGCTAAACTTTCAGCAACAACTCCAGCAACAACTCGATCGTCAACAGCAACAAATCCAACCGCAATCCGCCTACCCACAACCGGTTTCGCAACCCGCTCAACCCCCAACAAATTATCAACAACCATCACCACATCAGTCGAATCCTGGATTGTCCGGCTTTGCCACGCATGAACAACAAGCGGCTGCTCAGGTGAGTGGAATTAAGTCTGCAATTCAAAAAATTGAATGGCAAAGAATTTGGAAAGAAGGGGAATTGAAGGGGATCTTCTCCTTACCAGACAGCTGCTCTACCATTGAACTATCGGGGTCTTCTTCCAGCAAGAAATAGGAAAGACAAGGAAGAGATGGAAATATTCGAGTCTTTAGAACCTCCCGTCTTACTTGAAAATCATGGATATTAGTAATAAAGTAAAGAAATGAATAGTAAAGAATTTGGAATTGAACCTCTAGACAAAAGCCTAGACTCTAGACAATGCAAATTTGATAATGAGTACTATTTACAAACAAGGAAATGATCCAAACTGGAGAAGTCGATAAGCATTGTTGATTTGATCTGTCTTCGCACTTAGCGCAGATCACAACCTGCTTCCACATTTACTGAGGCAGAAGTGTAGTTGTCGTAGCCGATGATACTCCGATGGCCGGGCTGGGGCGCTCGGAGGGGAACCCATGGGAGTCAAACCCACGACTAACCCGCCGACGTTGCTCAACTTGGCAGATCGGACTGGGTCGCTCCCACAGACCCTTCCCTTTCTGGGCCCCATCGATAAGCATTTAAAAATGGAATCTAATAATCGACTGTATTAGCCTTAAAAATAGTATTTGTTTGTGATTCACAAAAAAGTGGATTCGAAGGTGTCAAACAAAAAGTGGTGTCAGTGACGGGGACTCGAACCCACCGGGAGAGCCGCCATGGGTTTTGCCAGCCGGCACACTATCCCCCAGGCCACCACTGCTCTTTGTTTGCTGGCGTGTGGTGGGCTCTTATTGGTTAGGGAGCAATTTTTCCGCTAAAATAAATATTTTTCCAAAACTTTGCATTTTTCTCGCCAGAATTTTAATTTGAGCAAAAACTGGATAGATATTTGGAAGGCTTATATTCGATTGGTGTTTTACACTCCGAGCTTATCCTGAAGCCTAAGTTTGTTATCCTGAAGCCTAAGTTTGTTATCCTGAAGCCTAAGTTTGCATTTCATTGTAAGCCACAAGGATTTCATTGTAAGATCCACAAGTGTTTGTTAGCTATACACTAATTTATCTCATTTTTCATTTCATATCAATTTCTAGGCCTACGCAGCTCAACAGGCAGCTGCAAACTACGAGCGGTATGCTACTGGACAACCGGTAAGTTGAACGAACGATACTTTGTCCTAAAAATCTAAACGCACCCTTTCTAGTGCACTGTATTCTTTTTCCCGACTTGTTTTTGCGGAGAAAATGATGAATTCAGTGCTAGAGTAGCTGCGTTTATAAGCTAAAGAACAAAATACGAATCTGGCCTACGATTAGCTATGCTATAAAGTTATAAAGCATAGATTTTTTTGAAAACTATTTTAGGCTTACCCCACTCAGGCACCGGCTCCCACCTATCCACGACCTGCTGCGCCAGGTACGCTAACTTTTTAGGCTCAAATTTTATCCTTTCAGCTCCAGCACCCTATCAGCCTCAGGTTCAACAAAATTCGTATCCAGGTAGATATTAGGCATTAGCATTTTTTAGGCATTAGCAAAGATAAGATCGAGTTTCCAGGCTCTCCACCATCATACGGCCTTCAGCCGAGCGCCTCCAGCGGATACTCGGCTCCACGTAAGTTTTGTTAAGAAAATTCGCATGTAATTGGATAATTAGCATATTAGTTAGATGTATGATAGAAAATGATCGAAATTTTCTATAACATTTCTGATATTTCTGATATTTTGATGCTCTAGAACCCGTTCGACCCTCGTATCCACCGCCAACGGCCGCACCGCCACCACCAGCGGCCCCATATGAGCAACCGGTTGGTTTTTCAACTTTATAAGTAAATTTATAAATCTAGATATTGATATATAAGATATACCAGAAATACCGTAATATTAGGTTGATGCATAAGTGTTTTTGTTCCTTTTCGTCTGCCGTTTCAAGCCAACAAATGCACCAATTAAACTACGGTTGATTTCATTAGAAAAACCAATTATTTTTCTGCAAAATAACATTAAAACGGGTTTAAAAATATTTTATGCCTGGATTTTCTTGAGAGTATGAAGTCGGGTAGTCAAAAAGGGCTAACTCGATGTTTAGTATGGTCAAAGTTGTGCGGTTTAGACACCTTAGCTAAAGAAAACCTATCTTCGTGTCAATAGATAAAAGATAGAGAAAAAAAACGTTTGATATTTCGCCAAAATTTCAGAGAAATTCATTCAGCCAATTTTTCCGTAGAGTTTTTTATAGATTTTTACGAAAAAGGCGTTTTTCACTCTCGAATTTGCTTGAAAGTGAACCGAAATTCATTTAAAAAGATGCAAATTGAACAAAAAAACACTTTTTTTATAGAGCAAACTATAGATTAATTGGTGAATTTGTTACTTTTTAACAGAAGTACGAAAAAAACGAAAAGACTTATGCATCAACCTATTAGTACCCCAACCCGCTCGTACAGTCGCGTAGTCGCAAAAGTTTTTTAGTATTTCATTTTTTTCAAAGCACCCGTACTTTCAAAAAATGCGTCTTTGGTATCAAAAAATAGCTGAAATTCAGGGCTATTTTTTGATACCTAAACGAGCATTGTAGCATAAACCAGTGTCGAGAAAAACTCGTTCAAAGCTAGACTACGCGATGCTCCGGCCGTCATTATAAACTGATAACGAGAAAAATGCGTTTAAAGTTAGGCTACGTGATGCTCCGTCTTTTGATATCGAAAAATAGTCCTGAATTTCAGCTATTTTTTGATACTTAAGCGCGCATTGTAGCACAAACCAGTGTCGAGAAAAACTCGTTCAAAGCTAGACTCCGCGATGCTCCGGCTGTCATTATGGGGATGGGGTACTATTACAGTATTTATATATCTAAATATAACTTATATCTAACTGCCGTAATCATTCTTTGATCTTGGAGTTGAATTCTGTGCTCAAGAAAGCTGCAAACTTTTCTCAAAGCCGACTCGCGCAGACCGTAACCTGTAATGAAATTATTGCTACAATAGCCAACCAGCAAAGCAAACAAGTTGCTGAAGCTGCTGAAGTTGCTGAAGCTGCTGAAGTTGCTGAAGCTGCTGAAGTTGCTGAAGCTGCTGAAGTTGCTGAAGCTGCTGAAGTTGCTGAAGCTGCTGAAGTTGCTGAAGCTGCTGAAGTTGCTGAAGCTGCTGAAGTTGCTGAAGCTGCTGAAGTTGCTGAAGCTGCTGAAGTTGCTGAAGCTGCTGAAGTTGCTGAAGCTGCTGAAGTTGCTGAAGCTGCTGAAGTTGCTGAAGCTGCTGAAGCTGCTGAAGTTGCTGAAGCTGCTGAAGTTGCTGAAGCTTGCCCAGCAATTTGCTAGCTAAACATCTAAGAATAAGTTTTATCTAAATCATTTAGATGCAACCGTATCATCCGCCAAGCAACTATGGACCGGCTCCAGCACCGGCAGTGCAAGTGAGTCCTTAGCCCAAAGCTTACACACTTTTAGATGGCAATTTACCTATTAAATTAGCATAAAGATTTAGAAATATCTAAATAACACTTTCAATTGAATATTTGATAACTTAAGCCATTGAAAGATTACTTTATTTAGCCATCTGTTTACCCAACCTATCCACAGCCGGAGATCGATGGAAATCAGGTGGGCTTTAAGACTAATAGCCACTACTATAGTCTTTTAACAATTCTGATAAGGATACTGAAGATAGATAGATCTATTTGATATTTAGGTGATCGAAGAGGAGACAATTGACCAAGAGCCATTACCCTACGAGCCCCCGCAGACTCCATTCCAACCCTATCAACCACCCCCACCACCACCGCCGACCACAAAGAGACCACCGCCACGACCAGTACCACCAAGGTTTCGTTTTAAGTCTTTGTCTTTGTCTTTGTAGTCAATAGAGTCAATAAAGTAGGCAAAACTATAATGAAATTAAGATTTAAGGCTTGAATTTTATTAGATTATAGGTTAGTGCATTTGTTGGTTTTAAACGGGAGTACGAAAAGGAACGAAAAGACTTATTCACCAATCTAATATTTGATTGTTGGCTGATTGTTGATTGAATCTAATGGCTGATGATTGTTGACCTTTGACCTCTTCGATTGCACGCATGATGTCGGCATTTGAATGCCCTGGATTGTAGTGGGACGAAGCGTAGGCGACAGCTTCGCTTCTCTGCCGAAAGGGCTGTTCGTCTGTTGTCTCTTCAACGCTGGCTCATAAGCTGTATGGCTAGTAGAAGCGTTCCAAGATTCGTGTCACCTCCGACCTGGGTCAATCTCTTCATTTTTTCAGCAGCTTCTGCGATGGCAAACGGTTTGGGTTTGAATCACGCATTTCGGTCAACGATCAGCTTCTTGGTCTAGAACTTTCCTTCCTGTTCCCTTCTCTAACAGCACTTGTTGGTTGAGTTCGGCGTGGATCGCGAAAGATCGTTTGGTGATCGTTTGGTGATCGTTTGGAGATCCTTTGGTGATCGTTTGGCGATCGTTTGGTGATCATTTGGAGATCGTTTGAAGATCGTTTGAAGATCCTTTGGCGATCGTTTGGTGATCGTTTGGAGATCGTTTGGTGATCGTTTGAAGATCCTTTGGCGATCGTTTGGTGATCGTTTGGTGGTCGTTTGGTGATCGTTTGGTGGTCGTTTGGCGATCCTTTGGTAATCCTTTGGTAATCCTTTGGTAAGCGTTGGTGGTGTCGGCTTGGACCGCGGCTTCAGCTTCGCCGTCAATTCCTTGAGTAGATGAGCTTCGGGAGCCTCCAATGATTTTGCTCGTCATCAACCATTATCTAAATTTAAAAATATAACAGGATATGGAACGAAACAATAAAAAAAAACAATGTATCAACTCTGCTAGACAATTAGACCAGAATGAAAAATTTTCCCCGCAAATTCAAAAAGGGCGCGTTTTAGAACACGCCAATACTTGCCTACGGTAGAATTTACAGCAAAACCTATCCACTGACTTAACATTTGATAGACTAGCTGTTTCTTTTCCAGAACGATGCCCCCAGTGGCCGCCACTCAACGACCACGAACAATGCCACCGGCAGTGAGGTTTGCAAAGAGCTCTAAGCTACTAGTGTGAATTTGTTCCAGAACCACCCCACCTCCAGCGGTTATTCGAACGACGGCCCGCCCCATGCCACCGCCAAGGCCACCAATGCCTAGACCAGCTCCAAGGTGAGCTTATATCAAGCCTGGACAGCTTAGGCTTAGGCTTACAGGCCTAACTGGCTTAAGCTGTAAGCCAGTTAGGCCACTGGCTTACAAACCTATAAGCTTACAGGTTTGTAAGCTAGGCAAAGTCAGAAGCCGAGCCCAGATCTGGCTTTGGGTTTGACCTTGGCATTGTCTGAGTTGGTCTAGTCGAAAAATTGTCCCTGGTCCAGGGACAATTTTGAATGGACATGGACAATCCTCGCTTTGGCTCGAGTCCTTTAGCTTATAAAAACAGCTCTATGACCACTTTTTTTATACAATTTTAAGTTTAATGCTAGACTTTATATCTAAAATTTCAGCAAACCAGACGTGGCTCCGACTACGACGGATAATACAGCTGGAACCACTGTGCAAGCTTTAACACAACAGGTAAAAGATTTTGTAAAACCTAAAAGATATGCCTACTATAAGTAGATGAATTTTTGCATAGCATTTCCTTTAGATTCGGCGATTACCGGTGGTGATGTATGTGGACTCTCGAAAGGAGAGCTCGTCTCGATTGGAGAATTTATTGAGGGATACATACGGACTGCCGCTCGTCTCTTTTTATGTGGATAAGGTAAATGGAATCTTTAGCCGAATACTTTACTCTACTCTACTGTAAAGACGGCAATCACTAAGATTTCAAAAACAATCTCGTTTTCCAGATCGATCGACCGGCCACCGTGCAAAGGCATCTCTCGCAACTCACCGCCCACAAGGGACTACCCTATCTTTTCATTTGTGGAACGTTTATTGGAAGTAAGGGTTTTTAAAAATTGACATTTAGTCACAAGAATAATGTGATACAAGCAAATCCTAAGTCCTAAATGTAGAGAAGAAAACGTAAATGTAGAGAAACCGGGAAAAAAGAACCAATAATCTAGCCAGCGAGATTCAACCATTGACCTACCGATTTAGCCAGTCGGCTTGGAGACTTTTTTTGACTCTAACCTTTCTCTAAATCTCGAAAAGGAACAAAAATAAACCTAGATCTGATAAGAATTTGGGTTTGGAATTGGATTTGATAAGCCTAGAAAGTTTGACTGACTTTGAAGGTCAAATCTGACGTTGGGCAAAATTACTCGGACAACTTTTTGGAAAAGTACTTGTCGCTTAATTTCTCCTAAAGTGTCAAGTGTTATATAGAGAATTGTAGCCCTTAATCTTGGCTACATTTTTCTACAGAAAACTTCTCAATCGGATTTATGCAACTCGTTTAACAAGTCCTTGAATGAGCACTAGTTTTCCTCTATCGCCATTTTTGACGATTTTCTACATATCTCGTTATATTAATTGTTATAACGCTATGAAATTGTTGAAAATAATTTTTTATACGAAATGCACACAAAGTTCACTGGATAAAGTTCTTTTTAGATAAGATTTATATAGAAAATTGTCAAAAATAGCGCCGGAAAATAGCGTCAAAAGCAGTGGATCGACTAGCGCTCATTCAAGGGCTTGTTAAACGAGTTGCATAAATCTGATTGACAAGTTTTCTGTAGAAAAATGTAGCCAAGATTAAGGGCTACAATTCGCTACCTAACACTTGATACTTTGAAATCAATTAAGCGTGCGACAAGTACTTTTCCAAAGAGTTGTCCGGATAATTTTTCGCAACCCTGTATTCCGAACTTTACGCTACTCTTTGCATTGTTTTTCTGGTACTTTTCTTGATAAATTTTGCAGGTATTAGACTGAAATGCAATAATAATCAATCAAATGCTTATTTGATAAGTCTAAATCGAACAATAGTATATCTAAGACTTTTTTAAAGCATAAATCCAATACTAACTTATCTAAGAATACAATAATAGTCAATCTAATATCTTTTTTCCTTTAATTTTCAAATTCCTAAAGTCTTTCTGTGATCGAGAGACTTTTCCACAACGGTTTTTTTTCTCCGTTCTCTTTGCGGCAAACATTTTCATTCATTTCCAATAAAATTCTTTTTGTTTCTAAAATGGAAACACATATCTTCTTTCATTTTTTAAAAAGTAAAGTAAAGCCAATTCCTATTCCAGGTGATCAACACATCGAAAACTATCACAAAAACGGTCAAATCCCGCAACTCGTCGAGTACGTTTGCGGAGAGGACAAGAAGAAATTGGGAAAAGAGAAGAAATCGAGACAGTAAACTTACCGTAATCCAGCGTATTGTTAAAACGTTTTTTTAAAAATTCTAAGCTCAATTCATTAATGTAAACCTGTGATAATAGTCGAATATGAAACGAAATTTCAGATGAAAATTTTTTCCTTCACCTTTTCCTTCACCTTAAACCTCTCATTTGCTCAGCATAAGGCCAAAAATGTGTTTTAAAATATCGAAATTTCCGATTACGGTAAATGGATCGCTTTTAACGACCAATTACCATAATCTAAGTATTCTACAGCCCTTAATTGAATATCTTTTTGTCTTTCCAAGTCATCCTTGTGATTCTAGTCTTTCAAAAGTCTCCAGTCTTTCAAATTTTTCATTCTTTTTTTGCGTTTTGGCGCTTTCTTGAGTTTTCTGTTGTTGGTTTTCTCATTTTTCCAAGATTTTTAATATTTCGAATGGAGATTATGCGATAAATTATTGAATCTGAAAAGCATGACTCCTACTAAAACAGCTTTAACAGCTGAAGTTGCTGGAGCTATATAATTAGTATAAATTAGTATAATAAAAAAAAGAGAAAGAAAAAGTGTTAATTTGTCGCTGAATACGAATCAAATGAAAAAACGGCAATTTTTTATGGGGCAACCTATATTAGGTTATTAGGTCGTCAATTGAAATTGTCAATTGAAAACAATCAATGGTTCTTTGCTGGGAAAGCCCCGCAAACCATCCCCAAGCTCTATATCGATGGATTGAAGATCTAAAAATCAGATTTTTTGACAGAGTCATTTCTTTTGCGCATAAAGCAAACAATGTTTTTAAAAAATGAGAAAATTGAAACTTTTATTTTAAAAAGTTTAAAAATGGGAAAAGAATGAAAAAAATGAAAATGAAGAGGAGATTTTGTTGGGATTTTGATGAGTTGCATCTGAAAAACACAAATTTGAGTAATTTGAGTAATTTGTGATTCTTAAAAGGGTTCTTTAAATGGTTTAACGACTAAATGAGAAATGAGCTTTGATCTGCAAATCCAGAAGTTCCTTTCAATCTCATGAGAATTCTGTTCGCAAAAAAGAGTTGTTTAGTTCGGGATCGATTTCTTCATAAAATCACGATATTTGGGGGTGGGACAAATGCGACCTTTTTTTGATAGTTTCATAAAAACTGTATCTAAATTTTATGTAATTTCTTTACCCTTTAACCATAGCTCAAAAGCTTTTGTCTAGATTTTGCAGAATTTGGCTTTTTCAACCCTAGTTTTCGGAAAAAGCAAGTATTTTGATCCTAAAAAGTATTTACATTTCTCACTAAACACTTCTGAAAATCAGAACTTTAGCCCAAAGTCACGATCTAATCTCTAATCTCTAGCTGATCTCTAGCTAATCTCTAGCTAATCTTTATCTTATCTCTAGCTAATCTCTAGCTGATCTCTAGCTAATCTCTAGCTAATCTTTATCTTATCTACCTCTAGCTGATCTCTAGCTAATCTCTAGCTAATCTTTATCTTATCTACCTCTAGCTAATCTCTAGCTAATCTCTAGCTAATCTTTATCTTATCTCTAGCTAATCTCTAGCTGATCTCTAGCTAATCTCTAGCTAATCTTTATCTTATCTACCTCTAGCTGATCTCTAGCTAATCTCTAGCTAATCTCTATCTTATCTATCTCTAGCTAATCTCTATCTTATCTATCTCTAGCTAATCTCTATCTTATCTATCTCTAGCTAATCTCTATCTTATCTATCTCTAGCTAATCTCTCGCTTCCCTTGGCCCAACCTCGACTCAGCGCATTGATAGACGAGTTTATTGTTGGCTCTTCGTCCATGCACACGCCGTCCCATATACGAGCAAGTACGGGTGATACGGTAAGGAGCTGTAAATTGTAAATTGTAAATAAGCTGTAAATTTACCGTATATAATTTCTCTAGAGTCAAATCTAGATAAATGTTATCTCTCTAAAAACTCACACAAACCTTTATCAATCATTTTTCGACATCCAATCGGCACTCGTTCGTAGTATGGCCCGAAAGTCAACGGGTTGCACTCTTTCAAGTGCTCGTGTCTCACCTTAACTATATAGCAGATTAAGAGCCTGAGGCTAAGCTACGAATTTGCCGATAATTCAATTAAATTCTAAAGAATGCGACTATCAAATTCGTTTTTTCAAAGTTTTTAATGCTATTTACAAGTAAATTCGGTTTCACAAGAGCCAATCGATTCAAATACCCAACTCTAGAACTCAGTGCACCAGGAGGAGTGCGTTTACACGCGGTGCACTTTGTGCTCAAAGCTTTAAACGCTTCTGGTGCAGTTGAACTTGAAGTTGAACTCTTTAAACGCTTCTTTAAACGCTTTAAACGCTTCTCAAAGCTTCTGGTGCAGTTGAACTTGAGCTTGAACTCTTTAAACGCTCCTTTAAACGCTTTAAACGCTTCTCAAAGCTTCTGGTGCAGTTGAACCCACTTGATCCTCTTGACAATCACCATCATTCAACGAATCACAATGATAGCATTCAAGAGCTAATATTGGGAAAGCAAAAAGTGCAAGAATTAGGAAATTTTTGAGTCGAAAGGGTAGAAAATGCATGGATTTCAGTTTTCAGCGCCTTATCAGCTACTCCTTTTCGGGATCGCGGATCAATGAGTTGTTTTTGAAGTCAAAAAATGTCTATCGGGAAGCGGCGAAACTGAGCTTACAACAAATCCGTTTTCAAAAACGTGTCCCTTTCCCTCAAACTATCGTAATCTTTTCTCGATTTTTATTCAATCTATCCACTTATCCAACTTTCGACATCCTTTGTGAGCCCTTGCATAATCGGAAAAAAAGTGGATCGATTGGATCAAAATAGAGACAAGATTACGGTGGAAATTACGACGAAATGGAGACAAGCTTACGGTAAAAATCACGACAAAATGGAGACAAGATTACGGTGGAAATTACGACGAAATGGAGACAAGATTACGGTGGAAATTACGACGAAATGGAGACAAGATTACGGTACAAAAATCACGACAAAATGAAGACAAGCTTACGGTAGAACATTGACACTAAGTTTCATGAACACCGCGAAGAGGTGCCACCACAGCAACTCCAAAAAAAGGTCGAATTTTGATGCTCAAAAAAGTCTATGTACTCGCTACTCCGATCCGATGGCATTTCTTGTTCAAATCGTTGAATTAATTTGCATTTTTTTCATTTGTGATTCACATGTTTAGATTTAGAAGTGTTGTGGAAGCGCGAGAGAAAGGAATTCAGAGGAAAGATGTGGCAGCTCTCTTCAAATGCAGTGAAAAAACGGTATCTATAATTGTCGGGGCGTTCAAAACGACTGGATCTGTTCACCGAGCTTAAAAATCAGACCGTCCACCAATTACAACACTCAGAGAGGATAAAGCGCTCGTCAAAGCTCACAAAAATAACAAGGATCTCAATGCGAGCGACGGAGTCGTCATGATGAAGAGTCAATTCGGCAAGGATGTATCACGAATGACAGTGAACCGACGCTTGATTCGTGGTCGGTTGGTGACAAGAA